TAAAATACATGAGTAAGAAAATATTTACACCTCACAGGTAAAAAATAAAACTCTTTCCCTTTTCCCCTTGCTCTTATTTTAATTGCTTTAGAGTGGAGACAGGACTAGGGTTGCCTAACCACTTTTGAGGATGTGAGCACTATTTTTAGGGTGTCCTGATGTCTGCATTGTCATTATGATCGCACAGAGGTTTAAGAGCAGGAGTGAGGCCCCCTACTTATGACCTGGATGGCATTGTTTAACCAGTTGAGATGAGCAGGCAACAGGTTATCTAAGACTGCATAGCCCATCCTCTGTACTTCAGTCTCATAAATTAAAGAAAGAATAGTGTCATGGTATAGTTACATCATAAAAAAAAAAAAAAAAAAAAAAAAAAAAAAAAAAAAAAAGGCAGGTGTGGCTCCAAACTCAGCAGGAATTGGCTACCCATGCAGTCAGAAGGAGATGAGAGCCAAGACATCTGCTTTCACATTGGTAAAATCCTGTCTAAGAGAGGCGCATGAGGCTTATAAGTGCTGAAGTAATTGGTGGCTGGAGGCAATGAATTTCTTGCTCTTCCAGAAATGACATGCTCGTGTAAGAGGCAGAGCTTCTGGATCCAGGCCCATGTTGAGCTCTGAACTCCACACAAATTTGCAGAAGCAATGTGGTTTTCAGTTCTGTAGTTTTAATTATTTTTTCCTACTGGTGGCAGCACAATGTAAATTCCTGAACTCAATATTATTCCAGGTGAAAAGACAAATTAGTATGATAAAATGCCTGTGATATTAATATAAGGATTCATAAATAACACATTTTTATAATTCAGGTTTCATGACTTAACCCCAAATTCACAAAATATCCTACTTTTTGAAATGTGTGATTTCTGGAAAAATAGAGTACCCAACCCATTACCTCCCCATCCCCATTTCTACAGCAGCTGGGATTTTTCTGTGTCTGTTTTTTTAAAGCTCTGATTTTAGCTGGGCTCTGACAATCCTTCCTCTTAGCAGCTCATCTCTGGGGAGGTTACTCACGGTCTCCTCCAGTTCCTTGGGCATGGTCACAGAGCTTGGTCTGCTCAGCTGATACTACTCAGTGTTCACTGCCCATGGGCAGTCAATAGTTTGACTTCTACGTAGAAGTGACGAAGTTAAAACAAACAAGATAATTGTATTTCCAGTAGGCCAGAGAGTTCCTTAAAGAAACTAGATCTCATATTTTAGTTACCAGGGACAACAATTTTAAGTCTTTGAGGTTATTTCAGTCTCTTGTGTTTTTAAAATAGGATACATTGGATACAATTCAGTGTGTTACATGTTAACTTTTAACATAAGCCCTTGAAAACTTCTTTCTTAGCGCAAACTTGATTAACTTTGTTAACTGTTAATTTTGACAAAATAAGCAAGTGGATTTGGTATGATTTACAAAATTATGGCTGGTTTCTCATTTGTTGCATGATGTACTTTTGACCTGCTAAGACCTGATGGCTGCCCAAGGGAGGTGATGTTGGATTCACTGACAAGTTGAAAAGAGCTATATTTTTTCAACAAATTAGTGACTCAGATAATTATTTAGCAAGGTTTCCTTATTTGCAGCATCTGAGGGTTGATCTTGCATGGTTTTTTGCATAGTTTTTTGCTTTTTGTTGAGACATTTTGTTCTAAATGTCTCCTTTTCTTTTGTTTTCTTGCCTTGCCTCTTATGTTTGTTCAAATTAGTGCATACAAATCCTCACAATTAAAGTCTATTTTAAAAACATTTGCAATATTTTTTTTTTCAAAAGATGTGTACTGCTAAATTAAGTTGTTTTTTACCAGCATATGATTATAATTATAATCAGTGATAAACAATGCCCAGTGTGGGCTACAAGGATGAAAGAAGTCCATCAGTATATTTTTTTTACCAGGCATTTTAGCACATAAAGCTTTTGATATTTCATCTGAGATTTTGAATTGTTACAATTAGGAAATTCATAATGATTCAGCAGTACAGTTTACCAATTCTGCCTGTTACAGTCCTATTCATGTACACACAGCTCATGCTATCTTACTCTGTTCTGGAAATTAAAGTGAATATGAATAATTTCAGTGAATAACTTAAACTAAATTCCATTAGAATTATTTATTGTTCTGGGATTTTGAAACATTTGTGTGGCAAATATCCATGTTTTTTCTGTTACAGATGAACAAACTGCATTCATGGTTCAGTGTGATCCATTCATTGGTTCATGGAGCCCAAAGTCCTTCAGGAAGTGTGACAAATCCACATAATTTCCCTGAATGCTAGGTTTTGCATGTTTTGTATCTGATTAAGTTGAAAGATGTGTTAAAGAATCGTAGAAAAATCCTCATATATAAAAATCCTCAGACAGCTCCCAATAGCTACATATCTCAGAAATCTCTGGTGCATTTTGTTATTCAAAGCAAAATTGTCAGTAATTTACACTCAATAAATTGGTTCCAGATCTGCCTCTTTCAGATGATATCACAAGGACACAATTTTATGTGCGATTCACTTACCTTTTGTCAAAGAATGTGCTTTTTTGAGAAATTTGCTATGGCAAATGCAGATGATAGAGACTCCCTTGCCTTGCAGAGCATGAAAGAATGTAATGGATCAATGGTTTGTATATAAGCTATGTTCTGATCAAATAAAATCATCATTTTTCCCCCAAGTTTTTTGAAAAAGAAGATTCTGGATTAATGGAAAAATCTTAACATATATAATTCATAATGCATTGATAAAGCCTCCATTTGCTACAACCACAACGTCTTTGCAGAGAGGTACAAAGAGTTTTGATTCATAACCAAAGAAAAGTGAAAATTAAGCCTTTTAGCAGTCAGGCCTTGACTTTGAAGAAATAGACCTTTGTATAGTTTTAAGTTCATTGCTATTTAACAGCTTTACCAAATAATACTTTGTTACAAAACCGACTAATTTGGTTCAGGATTTTTTTTTTAAGGCAGCTGTGAAGAAATACATCTTATTTGTCTGCAACATGTAAATTCATAGAAAAAAAAAGTAGTTTAAAAAATAACAACACAAATTATAAATAAATATGAAAGTGGGAAATTAAGAAAATGAAAATTTAGACTGAAAGACAAATATTTTTCTCATGGTAACATCACTTACACTTGAAACTTTAAAATAAAAATAAAAAGGAAAAAAAATCACTGTCTAGCACTGGGAAAAGGATAGCTTAAATAATGTAATATTTCTTTTATATTTTGAACTTACCAGCTCTGTGATTATGAATGGTTGTAATTTTAGAAGAAAGGAAGGAAAATGTGCTTTGTTCAGATGATAGTTGTACTTTGTTGGTTGCCTGCATGTGCCTGGGAGAAAAATGCTGTTGTGAAGTTGCTCATATCTTCATACATTCTATTATCTGAAGGAAAAAATACTTTCAGTGAAAATGCATTAAAGAGGTCCATAGACACCCATTGCTTGACTCCAGTTTAAGTTGCAGTTGCAGGATGAGGTCAGCAACGTCTTGTACCTCTGGTACAAGCATACTTTGTGACTTGAAATCAATCAAGTATTGGAAGCACCAAACAACTCTCCTGTCCTTATCTCTTTCTATAAAGGAAACCATCAGATAAAGGTAATGTTTTTATTATTTCTGTCGGCTTTGTGCCACTTGTGGAAATTCTGGTTTTCCTATTGCAGTGTAAGTTTAACTGACTGTTATACCTCCACCTTTGACCTTTATTACTTTTTTTTTTCTTTTTTTTTTTTTTTTAATTTCAGGAAAGCTTGAATATATGCAAGATTCCACCATATTCCTGGAACTCAATATTTATGTACTCTATTTCCTTAATCTGGGGAAAAATAAATGCACTTTGTGCTTTTTTCCCAGTTACTGACAAAGATATATTTATAGAAGCATTTTGTCTCTCACAATACGTTGATGAGACTTACTCCTAGAGTATAATATTCTTGCCTCCTTTTTCACTTAAAAATATTTATTTGCTGTATTTGTCTTTTTGTTCATATTACAGCACTGCTGCTAGACCTTTAATTGTTGACATTCTCCTTTATGGAGCTCCTCAGAAGTACATCAATTCTATTAGACAGATCATTGTGTAAGACCCCTTCATCTGAAACAAAACTGGTCCTACTGCTTCTTTATATGTTTACATAGGCTATCCATAGCTGTCTGAAGATATCAGGTATCAGGAGTAACAGTCCAAATGTAAGAAATTCTCCATTTCTTGTTCATGTAAAATATAAGAATAATTTACATGATACTAATTTAATTTTCATTTGAGATGTTAGCTTTTTCGTGATCAAAAAGGCATTTATATGCAGCTGTTTATTGTTTTTCTTGCTTTAAATAAATAAATAAATAACACAGAAACCCAAGTTCTTAATCAAAACATTAAAATAGTAGTGAAGCATTTGTTCCCTGAAAGAAATCATAGTTGATTTGTCCCCTTGCTGTTCTGAAGTGCCAAACATTTTATATAGATTCATAAGAAAATAAACCCAAATACTAGAACTTTTGAATACTGAAAAAGAAACTGTTTAAAAATAGCATCTAAAACTACTATCAATAGTCAGTTGATGAAACTTTTGGTGCACCATGTCTGATTTTTCTGTCATATGAGTAATTTTACAAATTCTTTTGGATGCAGTGAAAAGAACTACTCTTTCCTGTTTTTACATATTGATATTATTCTTTCCCTATGGAAAAAGTCTTTAAACAATATAGTGGGTTGGCAAGGCTCTGATAGTGGGAAGATACAGGAGTGGCTTCTGTGAGAAAGAGGTTCCCTTCATGTCAAATAGAGCCAATGCCAGCCAGATCCAATATGAACCCATCTCTGTTCAAGGTCAAGTCCACCAGCAAAGGTGGTAGCACCTCTGGGGTAATGTATTTAAGACTGGGAAAAAAGTTATTGCATGGGAGCAATTGCAGCCAGAGAGAGGAGTGAGAACATGTGGGAGGAACAGCTCTGCAGACACCCAGATCAGTGCAGAGGGAGGGGCAGAAGGTGCTCCAGGTGCCAGAGCTGAGGTTCCCCTGCAGCCCCTGGGGCAGTCCATGGTGAGGCAGCTGTGCCCCTGCAGCCCTTGGAGGGCCATGGGGATTCAAAGATCCACCTGTGGCCTGTGGAGGATCCCCATGCCACAGCAGATGATGCCCAACAGAGCCTGTGACCCCATGGAAAATCCATGCTGGAGCAGGCTCCTGGCAGCACCTATGGAAAGAGGAGTCCGTGCTGGAGTAAGTTTGTTGGGCAGGACTTGTGACCCTGCAGTGGACCCACACTGGAACAGGCTGTGCCTGGAGGACTGCACCCAGTGGAAGGGACACAGACTGGAGCAGTTTGTGAATTACTGCAGCCCACAGAAAGGACTCATATTGAAGAAGTTCACAGACTGTTTCCCAGTGGAGAAACATCACACTGCAGGAGGTGAAGGGTGTGAGGAGTTCTTCTTCAGAGGAGAAGGGAAAGGTAGAGACAATGTGTGATGAATTGACCACAATCCCCAGTCCCTGAAAAGTCAGGAGTAAAGTTGAGCTTGGGAAGAAGGGACAGGTGAGGAGAATATGTTTTAAGACTTGGTTTTATTCCTCATTACCCTGCTCTGATGTGACTGGTAATAAATTAATTTCCCCAAGTCAAATCTGGTTTTGCCCAGGCAGTAACAGCTGAGTGATCTCTTCCTACTCTTATCTCAATCTGTGAGGCTCTTCTATTTTTTTTCCCTTTGTTCAACTGAGAAAGGGGAATGATAAGAGTGACTTGGGTGGGCACATGGAATCCAGCCAGGGTCTACCCACCACAGACACTCATTTATGCGATCTTGTGGTTGTGGCCTTGCAGTCAGTAGCAAAATAGCAGGTTAAATATTGCTGCATTTCCATTAGTTCCAGGGGATTACACCTTCTTATTTCTTGCATCTTGAGACCTTTTAAGTGATAATAATGCTGACTTCTTGCTACAAATTTCTCATGAGTTATTGTATGAGGGAATTGTGTTTTTATTTTAATTTCATGCTCATACGCACATTCTCATAACTAGTAGAGCATGTGTTTGTCCAAATCATCTGTCCAATATTCAAGGATTAACAGGCATGTACTGAGGTGGCCTGGCCAGGATTTCCTGTGATGCCTTGGAGGGTAGTGAGCATACTGAGTCATTACCATGGCTCTCATCTTTTTCCTGTGTTGGCAGCCATGATAGTTTTTGATATCTTTTTTTATATCCCTTAGGAGTTGACCTCAATTATATTTTTTATTCTGTCAATTGTTTTATTCTCTCAGAACCCTCTCAAACTTCATGCATCATTTTGATTAGCTTTGTTTTCTCTCTGTACCTTTGTGTACCCTTTGTCTCTCTTTATACCTTTGCTCATCCTGTTCAGGGTGTGGGCTGTCATATACTTTCTTCTCCTTAATTTTCTTCTCTTTAATACACTGCATTTACCAGAACAGAGATCTTCTTAGTTTTATTATCTAGGTGCCATAAACATTGGGTTTTGTACATCTCTCTTTTGCTGTTTCAGTATTGTTTCTGTTGCAATTCTGGCTGGGGAGACATGACAGCATGAGGACTTGAGATTCAACAAGGCCAAGTGACATGTCCTGCAGTCTGGCTACAACAATGCCATGCAGCACTACAGGCTGGGACAAGAGTGACTGTAAAGAGGCCTGGTGGAAAAGGACCTGAGGGTGCTGGTTGAGAGCAGCTAAACGTGGCCCAGTGGCCAGGAAAACCAATGGCATCCTGGCCTGGCCAGCAACAGTGGGCTGGGATTGTTCCTCTGTACATGGCACTGGTGACAACACAAATCCCGTGTCCAGTTCCAGGCCCCTCACTGCATAAAAGACATTGAGAGGTTGGAGCAAGTCCAGAGAAAGACAACAGAGCGGGTGAATTGTCTAGAGGGTAAGTCCTATGAGGAGTGACTGAGGGATCTGGGGTTGTTCATACAGGATGAAAGGAGGCTTGGGGGGACCTTATTGTTCTCTACAACTACCTAAAAGGAGGGTGTAGCTGGAGAGGAAATTAGTCTCTTTTCCCAAGCAATAAGTGACAGTACATAGCCTCAAGCTGAGCCAGGGAAGGTCCAGGCTGGACAAATTTGTTCACTGGAAGGGTTGTTAAACAATGGAATGGTCTGCCCAGGGAGGTGGTAGAGTCACCATCCCTGGGGGTGTTCAGGAAACAACTAACATGGCATTTAGTGCTATGGGCTAGTTGGCTAGTTGGTAATCAGTCATAGATTGGATGTGATGTTCTTAGAGGTCTCTTCAATCTAAATGATTTTGTGATTCTGCCATTTCAGGACTTTGAAGTTGCACTGTATGTTTCCACTGAGGTTTCAAAACTGTACTGCAGGCAATAGAGTCCATCACTGTCTGAAGCCAAAGTCTTGTTCCTTTCATTAGAGAAGGACCAGCAGTAGAAGGTGGCCATTTAAGCAGTTTTAATGCAATATTGCACAAAGCAGGAAAACTATACCCAGAAAAACATCCAGGATGATTGCTGATTTTCTAAAAACACCAGGATTTGCAGGTTCATTGGTTCCCTGCAAAGAATTTAGTGATTGGAAATCTAGGCTAAATGGACACAAAAAGGACCCTTTTCTCTGACCCATTGATTTTTTCATGTTTTTACATGTCATGGAAATCAGGAGATTTATGAAAAGGGCCTCACATTTGTTAACCTTTTGTTACAGATATCCATTTATCATAGCATCCAGAAGATTTTACTTTGTTGTTGAAAAATAGGTGATGCATTCTAAAAACAGCTGAAACAGAAAAATAATTTCTGAAGTGAGTTGAACCTGTTTAATGTGTGAATACATGTAATATGATCTCTTGTAACATACACCTTTGACCAAATACTATTAATAATGATATGCAGGATAATATGGCATTATGGAAAATCACCTCTTCATTGGAAGATGAAAACAAACCAAAAACCTAAATAATAATAGTCTTCACAGTGGTGTCTAATTTTTCGTCAATCAAGTCTTTAATGAATTTAAGATATGAGTATAGTCACAGCAGTTCCAACCCCCACATTGTAAATCCACATGTAAAGAATACAATTTAACAATCCTTTAATGCTATTTTGAACAAGCTGCAAATACAATTTTAGAACTATTCGATTTTTCAAATAACCTGGTAGGAACTGCAGTTTGTATAACTCATTTTGTGATGGTATTATGTTTGTATTGTCCTCTTAATCTGCATAGGTATAATTAGAAGTTTGGCTTGATTAAGAAAAACCATTTACTCAAATAAATACCAAGCCTTTGAGGTTTTCTTTAAAAAAATTCTTAGTAATTCTAGATTATTTTAAAGGGTAGACAAATGTCATGAAAATGTATTTTAAAAGCATTTCATAGAAACAATAGAGTTGTACATAAGTGTTCATATCTGTTCTTTCATAATTCTGAGAACTTATTTTAATGTGTATAGTGATGCATCATAGAGACACGATTTAGCAATTGATACTTGACTGGGAAACACTTTGCATATTTTTGGTACCATAGAAACCACCTATTAAAAACTACCTATAAACATTAATAAGGGTTTTAAATGAAAAAATTTTAACTGTGGTAATTTTTAGCACATTCCCACCCAGATACAGTTGGAATTATAGTAACAAAGTTGAAAATGTTATGGAGTTATTGTCATGGATAAGTTCATTGCCATGACTAACAACATCAGTGGGAAAAAAAATGCAAGACCTACTTAGATTATGTACATACACAAAACAGTAAAATGAGGAGAAAGTTGGAGAGACCAAGTGTTAAATTGTAATGCTAAGGATGAACAACATCAAACTTGCCCTGGAGTTGTTGAAAAAGATGCCTTGCTGTTTCTCATTTACCAAATTGGTTTCTAAAATGTACATAAATTAAAATATTTCATAGAACTCTCTTTTTTATTACTCTTCATTATCCTATAAGAATGGAAAGGAATTATAGTTAACAGTTTAAAAATATTGTGCAATTCAGAATGAAATCTTGCATCTACATGTAAAAAGAAAGAGGCTTGTATATTATACTTCCTTTTTGAAAATTTTTTTCCTATATAGATATATGTAGGCAAAACATTAAAAGCTATTTAGCCTACTGCTAACTCACTCCTTTTCAATATTAACCATATCCCTTAAACTAAATGGCTAAGCCAGATAAATAACCACAAACATGAAAGAACTTACACAAGTTTTGCAACTCCTACTATTTACTGAATAAATGGCATATTTAAAATTTTAAGATTATCTTTAAAATTGACAATTAACAATTAAAAACAAAAATTCTATGCTGGACAACTACTAGAGGTTTTCATTTATAGTAAATTGTTTTATTGTGTGACATGGGAAACACAGGAATTGTGACTAATGGGAGAGCAGAATTAAGAATTATGCAGCATCTTTCAAGCAAGGTACAATCTCACACCAGCCCTGGTGAGAATTAGGTGTTTATTACAGGTCTACTGGGTTCTTTCCAAAGACAAGGAAAGGTCTTGTTCCCCTAAGTCATTCCTTTATTGACGTAGAACCTTGAATTGAACTGAACTGAACTGTATTGAATTTAGAACTGCATTGAACTTAGAATTACATATGAAAAAGAAAGAGTCTGGAGAGCAGTGGAATGGGTTTGAAGCTTTTGAACTCCAGAACATTTTTGAAAGGGCACATCTTACAGTCATTAAGCTGTAATACAGGAACAAAATACTATATAATTCTGTACTACTTGATTGTATTTTAATAGCTATGTATGTTCACATATGTAGTAGTATAAGATACCAATAGGTCAGAGAGATCTTAATATGTTGAATTTTAAGAAACTTTTTACTTTCCATATATTTCTTTATATTTGTTGATTTGAGGAAATCCTGTTGCTTTTACTTTAAATCTGAAAAATATGCAGACACTGAGCTGATAATTCCTATGGAATGAATGTGAAAAATACTTTATTTCTGTTTACATAGAATGTAAACAAATAAATAAACCAACCCACCTCTCCTCTTTTGTTGTTTTCTTTGCTTTCATTATCTAGCATTGACATATGAAGTAATTTTCCATCATATTTTATTACTGCAGAGGCAAATCTTACCCTTCACTTACATCTGGAAACTCAGGTCAAACTGGAATTGTAGTTCAGGTTTTATTAAGGTTGTATGGCACATCTCCTGCCCCTTCCAGATCAACTTCACAATTTCAAAGAAAATTCCACCACAACAGGTCTTTGAAGGAGTATTAGAGGCAGAATGCACTTGTTAATGTTTCCCTCAAGCAGTGCTAACACTATTGCAGTCTTTGAGTTTCAGTAGCATTTGCAACGCAGGTTAGAATGAGGATTATTTTGACATAGGGGCCATTAATATTTTTTTTGTGCTAAACTTAGATATGCTTGGACCTGACCTCATCTAATATTACTTTTTATTGGGTTTTTTTCAGAATTGTTTACAGTCTAGCAAGCTCTTATAACAAAGTAATTTTGGATGTTCTTTTGTAAAAAGAATCTTGTTGTTCCTTAACTACTGTTACATTTCCAAGAAACTAAATACGGAAGCCAGTGGTGACCATGTGTTTTATATTGTGACAGAAAACAAAAAGAAGCCCAAAACACTGTGTGAGGAATCTCTGACAGGATATGTTCACATCAGAATTTTAGTTAAGATCGGAGAAGTATTTTTGAGACCAGTCTTGCAGTTAGCTCCCATTCTGTAATATCATTGGTGTCATAGGGGCATCTGTTGGTGTCATAGAGCATGTGCCCTGTGCAGAAGTGATGAAATTAAGCTGTCTGTGTTGGGTTAGGCTCCTGGTGAGCCTATCTCAGGCACCCAGGCTGCTTAGAAGTATCTGATTCATAGGACCAAAACAGTTTTTCAAGTAATGATCTCTGAAGCATGTGTTTAATCCATATCAGGTCCACAGCCCCAGCTGTTTAGCTCTACCAACCCACTCCTACTGAATACCACTGCTTGCTAGTTGTAAAAGCAGTGGACTGTCATCCTACAATGGCCATTGCAACAACAGAGAAATGTGCAAGTCTGAAGAAGTTCCCAGCCATGTAGCTGTGCAAAAGGAGGAAGAAAATTTTTGGTTAAGTGCACACATAGCCCCATTACTTGGATTTTCCAAACCATGGGTCTGTGTTTCTCAGTTTTACTATAAAAGTTTAGGGACCATGATCACTGGTTAAAGTGTAACAGTTCTATAAGTGTTTGAACGCTGCTGTTAGTACAAAAAAGTTAAAAAAAAAAAAAAATTAATTTTGCACTGGAATAATGTAGATTAGATCTATAGATCTAGATACTTAATTTGTAAATACAGTCCTTGAAATACTGTGAAAAAACATTTCATAAGCACAAAAGAATAAGGAAATGAATATTTGCAGGTCTGAGAGGCTGTTACTAAATATAATAGGTAAAGTAAATTTATTTGTTACAGGCCTCTAGTAATGTACACTTATCAGATGACTGCTACAAAAATTAGAAAATCAGAACATCTATGGGGTCATTAAGGTAATGCTTTCTCAGGGTATTCTACAGGATTCTGTCTACAAAGTGCTGTGTAGGTATTTATATACTCCAGTTTAAAATTACTTAAAGTCTTCCCGATTTCACACCAAGGCATTGCTTTGTAATTGAATGCATATCACTCTGAGATTGCTTTACAAGTGATTGGCACTCTTCAGAATATATTTATGACACAGCTCTGGTAGAACAAACAAGTGTACTCAGATTAGATCTTAAGGAAGATAATTTTCTCAGCCACTGCAGTACATTTGTAATTCTCCTCACTATTGACCCAGTGTTGTTATGCTCAGGCATATATCTCTTAAAATCTTATCATTCACCTGTAACCTTTGTTTTATTCTTTTCTTCCTCCTCACTGCCTCCATGTAAAATCTTTATGTCCAATGTGTGTGTGCTTGGACTCCAGACTCAACTGCATGAGATATTGACAGAGTATTACAACTGGTGAAGATATGTAAAGAGGCATGCTTTTGTGTTAAAGAAGACTTTTTTCTGTCCAACTTGTAGTGAAAATGCAGCATAATTTGTGTTGCTGAGATTAACCAAAAAAACTATTAGATGTTGTCTTGCCACACAGAAGAATGCATCAAAATTTTATTTACATTTTCAAGTTCTGTAAGGAGCAAAGATCATGAAGAGGCATTTGAAATGCTCAAGCATTAAAATATCTTGAGGAATTTGATAGATAGGAAAAGTGACCATGTGTGGTGGTTCTTGCTCCTTGGTTCAGCTTTCATGTTTCAAGTGTTCCAGTTTGCATATTGGAAGTAATGACACGTTCTTGATGTAAGCATGAATTAATTCTTCTTAATTATCTAGAAGCAGAAAATATTCTGTGTGTTTGTCAGAATTTTCCTACATCCTGCTAGCATAGCTATTAAACTATACATAGCAAGAGAGCACGTCAGTTCTGCTACTCCTGCAGCTTGTGCATGTGCTGGACTCAAAGAGAGCAGTATGCAGAGCTCAGAATGTCACAGGTGAAGAGGATAACAGTAGTACTGTAAAAAGCCTTAGGAAAAACAAATACATTTTGTCAAAATATCTTACAAAGTAAAGACTGGATAATTAAAATAACAGAATTCCAAAGCCGCTTTACAGTCTTTGCGGGTGCTCTGGTTGTAGGTTGATCTTGATGGGTTGCGCTGGGTTTGTGTGGGCAAGTTTTCAAAGTGTGGGGGCTGCAGAGGTGTCTTTTGCGAGAAGCTGCCAGACGGTTCTCTTCATGCCTAGCAGAGCCAATTCCAGCCAGGTCCAGCATAAATCCTGCTCTGGCCAAGGCTGAGCCAATCAGGATAGTAGTAATATATCTGAGATAGTATATTTAAGAAGGAAACAAAAGTTATTGCACAGATGTAATGGTGGGCAGAGAAAAGCGGGATGAGAATATGAGGGAGGAACATCTCTGCAGACAGCAAAGTCAGTGCAGAAGAAGGGGCAGGAGGTGCTTCAGGTGCCAGAGCTGAGATTCGCCTGCAACCCATGGTGCGGCCCATGCTGAGGCAGCTGTGCCCCTGCAGCCAGGGAGGGCCATGGGGATGCAGAAATTCATCTGCAACCCACAGGGGGGACATGCTGGGGCAGATGAATGTTTGAGAGGAGGCAGTGAACCCATGGGAAACCCATTCTGGAGCAGGCTCCTGGCAGGGACTGCACACCTATGGACAGGGAAGCCCGTGCTGGAGCAGGTTGCTTGGTAGAACTTGTGACCCTGTCATGGACCCACTCTGGCCAGGCTGTGCCTGAAGGACTTCATCCCATGGAAGAGTGACCCATGTTACAGCAGTTCTTAGAGAATGGTTGCCTGTGGGGTAGACCTGTGACTGAGGAGTTTGCAGGACTGTCTCCCATGGGAGGGACCCCACAGTGGAGTAGGGGAAGTATTCCTCTCCAAGAAATAGGAGGAACAATGTGCAATAAACTGACTGTAACCCCCTTTCCCTGTCTACCTGCACCACTGGGAACGAGAAAGCAAAGTTGGGAAGGAGAGAAGGCTAGGGAGAAATTGCTTTTAAGATTTGCTTTTACTTCTTATTGTCCTGCTCTGATTTTGTTAGTAATAAATTCAATTAATATTCCTGAATTGAGTCTGTTTTGCCTGTGACAGTGTTTGGTTTGTGATCTCTCCTTGTCTTTATCTTAACTCATGAAACTTTCATTATATTTTCTCTCCCTTGTCCAGCTGTAAAGGGGAGTGATAGAGAGGCTTTGGTGGGTGCCTGGCATTCAGCCAGCACCAACCCACTACACAACCCCCACTCTCTCATCCCCCACTTCTCAGCTCGATAGAGGAAAGAAAATAACATGGAAAACAGCTCATAGGTTGACACAAGGCAATTTACTAAAGTGAAAGTGAAAGGTTGAACATGCACATTCAGAGAAAAAAAATCCCAAACTTTTATTCTTTACTTCCCATCAGCAAGCCATGTTTAGCCACTTCCTGGGAAGCAGGGCTTCATCATGTGCAGTAGTTACTCCAGAAGGCAAACATAAATAACGAATGCCTTCCCTTCCTCCTCCTCTTAGCTTTTATTTATAAGCCAATGTCCTATGGTATGGAATATCTCTTTAGTCAATTTGGGTCAGCTCTCTTAGTTGTATCCCTTCCCAACCTCTTGCCTGTCCCCAGCTCAGTGTTAAAGAGGAGGAATGTTGGACAGTGCTGATGCTGAGGGAGCATTATTCAGCAGTGGCCAGAATGCTGGTGTGTTATCAACACCCTTCCAGCTACCAGTGCAAGGCACAGCACAGTGAGATCTGCTGTGGAGGAAATTAACTCCTGCGCAGTCAGACCCATACAGCATCTGCCTTGTGCTGCAGAAACATCTGGTGAGGAGTGTGGGACCACTACCTGAGCGTAAATGCTGAGTGTAAAGGCAAAGCCTGTTGCTGTCAGACAGTGAAGGGTGGGGAAGCCCTTGCTCTCCACTAGGACCTCAGAAATTCTGGAGCAAAATTTAGGTACATTTCAGCTGGCCTTGATTCTGGAGCTGTAGAGGGTACAGGTGTGCCGGTGCTGACAGTGGGGTATCTGTGAAGAGATGCCAGGTCTTCCCTGCGCTGGACATAGCTTGTTCCAGCCAGCTCCCACTGCTGATTTGAGCACACTGCTAGGGTGGGGACACCTTGGAGAAAAGGTGTTTAGGAGAGATGAAAACTTCACGGAGGGAAGAGGAAGGAAGAGAAGAAGTGAGAAACAGAGAGCAAATGCCAAAGGGAGAGAATAAGAAGGACGAGGTGGGAGTGAGGGAAAGATGGTTTTGTTTTTGTCTTTGTTTCTGACTATCCTACCCTTTTGTAATGGGTAAGAAATTAAATTAGTTTTCCCCAAGCTGAGTTTGTTTTGCCTGTGATCTCAGTTGGTGAGTGATCTCCCTGTCCTTATTTCAACATATGAGCTTTCCACTTGACTTCCTCTCCACTCTCCTGCTGAGGAGGAAAGTGATTGACAGAGAAGAGGTGGAGGTCTGCAGCC